CTAAAATAGAGAGATAAAAATAGATATATACTTATATATTTACCAGCCTGAATGTGCGAGAAATTTCATAGAATATATGTCTCCTCCGACAGGAGTCAAATCTGTATCCTACACGGAGTCGTCATATAGCCTGATGTGCTATACCATTTACCTACAGATGAAGTGCCTGGTTAGTCAGTTCAAATTACTGTTTTTAAACTACAAATTTCCCATGAATTCTCTCGAACGCTGTTCGAAGAGTATCTTAAACAAATGACATCATATATTATGAAATGGACTATACTCGTCTCGAAAAACCTTCAAATTTTTGATTTGCCAATAATCAAATCAATCTCGAAGGAAAAAAAGGTTATATATATATATATATGTATGTATGTTTGTGTGTATGTGTGTGTGCATGTGAGTGTGGGTGTGGGTGTTAAGAAACTATCTGTCTAAATTTCTTTTGTTGGTTGAAGATTCCTTAGTGTCATCAGGCAGAAGTAAGGTTGCTGAATGCTGATTTTCAAAGCAGTGGGGTCGACACACTTTATTTAGAAGATTGATTCGAACCTCATATGCAAATCTCTCTTCAAGTAACCGTGCGCTAGGCTACAGCATATGTCGACAAAAAAAAAAAGTTTTCTGGATATAACATCTTCGTACGTTAATTGTAGCGGTTCTAATATTAATTGAAAACGATTAACATGAGTGTTACAAAATAGAGAAGCTTTTATTTTATTTTCTATTTACAACACAAGAAATATCTGAGAACAAAAAATTAATCGTTCGTGTTCTGTTTTTCTTTAAAGTCTTGAGAGTCACAGAGAATTATTAGCAGCCGCGTGGCGTTAAAAGAATTATTGCCAAGTTGTGAATTGTAATTTGATACTATTCATTCAGCGGCCAAAGGAGCGTGCTTGCGGTCAGAGACAGTTGTTTTTCATCTTGCCGGACAAGTAAACCGTTCTGAAGCGGTTTGACAATATTCTCCTTATTTGAATGTTCTGATGAGATCACACACATGCGCTCCACGAATTTCTTACGAAGAGGCCGCGTATTTTCTGTACACCCGATTGGTCAAAAAAATGTTGTCAAGTGTTTTATTTTTTTAGAAAAAAGTGCATAGGCTTTTATATATATATATATATATATATATATATATATATATATATATATATTTAAGAATTGCGTTAAAAGTTGATCCAGTTTTTCTTGAACTTTCCTTGACGGGAAATTGCATCATTTCCTATATATCTAACAGAAAAAAAGAAAGACGAATCGACCATGGAAATCGCTTTGTAAGCATGCGCTGTAGTTATGCTATCTTTTGTTTTTAAAGATGGACGTCAGCGATAAAAAAATAAACAAATATAAAATCCTGAACGATAGAAACAGAAAACACAATAAACAATACACAGAAGTGATTTTTAGAAAGAAAAAAAAGAAAACTAACCGGAATGTTATCGATAAAAATCGGCGCCGGCAGAGACAATTTGAATTGAACAGGAACTACACAGTAATTAAAGGAAAGTCAGAAAATGGATGTTAACCATTCATACAAATAAAAAAGAAAAGAAAAGAGAACGACATTTATCACATATCTTATATATTAACCGTCTGTACTTAAGTCTGAAAAATAACAGACACTGAGGTCACGATGATTTTAAAATAAAATAATAAAATGCCAGTCGTTGCAAAGTCTTGATTTGTCTTCGCTAAAATTCAGATGATTATGGTTTAATACCATTCAAGTTTAGTGAAACAAAAACAAAAAATAGTTGGCGATCATGGCTCTCCACAATTTCCTCTCCCTTTTAGCTCTTAATTAATTTTTTTTGTTTTCTCTCCAAAAGCTTGTTCCGCCATCCATTTACTCATCCTCACTAGTTAGTTCATGCATTGTTTTCCTCTGACCCTCTTGCCTTCGATCTGTCCTGTGAGTATCAAATTTTCCAAGCTCTCTTTCCTCATTATGTGCCCCAGAGATTTCAACAGTCTCTTCTTCATATTAAGTTTAACGGTTTTTTTCGTTTCCATTTTTTTCTAAAACTTTGTCGTTGCTCCCATGTTTGGTCCATGGTAATCTCAGCATCCTTCTGTAGAATTACATTTCTGTTACTTCAAGTCTCTTCTTCATCTGTGTGGAGATTGTCTAGCATTTACTGTTATAGAGGGTGGCTGATATTATGCAGCAGTTCAGTACTCTATTCCTGGTTTCTAATTAAAATTTTCCAGTTTCTTAATATTTTGCTTAGCTTTTGGAAGGCATGCGACTTCGGATTTCAGTGTCACACTTTTCGTCCTCTGTTAAAAAAAAATGACTTTCTAGATAGTGTACTTGTTTGATTTTGGTATCTCCAATTTGTAATCTGCAGGTTGGGCTATCCCTTTTGCTAACTACATTTTTGCATGGAAGTTTTTTTTAATTTTCAACCAACAGCACTCTCTTCTCTTGTTAGCTAAAGATCTGCCGCTGACCCCTTTAACGGGACGATTCTTCCAAAATGTTATGATATGTTGCGCAACATATCATAACATTTTGGAAACAGGCCGACTCCTTGAGCAAATTAAAAACACTCCGGACTAGATCCGGACCGGCAATCCTGAAATTTTGGATTCTCAAGTTGTCATTACTACGATTGTTTTCGGGTTCTGCCATCTTGGCTTCTACCGATGAAAACAATCAAAGGGACAAACTCTCTAACTTTCATGTTCAAATGAAAAAAAAATACTGTTCTCAAATTACAGTATTTCAAAATAAAATTGTCCGTGTTTTCAACCAACATACACCATTTTGGAATCCGGTTAACTTCGTGAGCAGATTAAAAAGATTCCGGACTAGCAATTGTGAAATTTTGGAATCCCAAGTTTTCATTGCTGCAATTGTTTTCGGATTCCACCATCTTGAATTCTGTTAAAAACAATTAAGGGGATACAACTCTCTAAATTTCAATAGCTCATGTTCAAATGAATAAAATACTGTTGTCACCATATATCATTTTGGAATCAGGCTGTCTCCGTGAGCAAATTAATAACATTCCTGGTCGGATCCAGACCCGTAATCCTAAAATTCTGGATTTCAAAGTTTTCATTACTGCGATTGTTTTCGATGATTTTTTTTTTACATGACTGAGTTTTTTTGTGCCATAACAATTTTTATAACTGTAAAATAAATTTCGAAATTAATTGTGAAATCCAGCGAAAGTCACTCATGAAATAAAAATAATTGTTAGTATGGAAAGTAAGGACCTACGTACATCAAACTGTCTTTAAATTAAGTGGCAGCACAAGAGTTATCATTGAACTTTTAAAAGGTAAACTTGAATATTAAAGCAATACTTAAATGCATCGATCAATTTTGAGTTCTTCTGTAGTTGCCTATCGCATGTATTCCTTCTAATCTATCAATCAAGTGCCCTCCGCAAGAATTAGTTTAAATGCTGCTCGAGAGGGCAGCTTTTAAGCTAGTAAGATATATAGATGTGGTTATACTACGGTCGGTTGAAATATATATCTTTCGATTAAAAGAATTTTTCAGGAAGATAGGTTTCTCGGATATGGGAAGATTTATTGAATTTTCTAATTATTTGCGGGTTTCCATTCTATCGTTATAACAAATATCTATAAAAAAACAATTTTTTTTTGCTATACTCAGCCAACCGCAACGGTGGAGATAGCCTTACCACGCACCATCGCCAACAAAACACGCTGCAAGAGTCACTCCGTTTTGTGAGGCTTGTCTTTTAATCGAGACGCAATCGCACCAATCCTCCGAAGGAACGTCATCGAACGAGGGCCAATAATCCCAGAAGTCTCCACTGCCACAGGAGAAAAAAAATCTATCAACAAGAAAAGAATATTTAACTATTTTTTTTTTTTTTATCTCTGGACAAAATACATATAGGAAGAAAAATATTCATTCGCATACGGACAAGGGTGGTTTAAAAATTCTAGGCCCTAACACGAAGGGGTTCTAAAAATTCTGATGGTTGCTCAGATTTAAGTAAATGGGTCGGGCCACGTATTTTAAGGACACACCATGTCGATCTTTTCTGTGTATAAAGATGATTCGCTTGCCATGGATTAATGGTTAATGAGCTTGTCTAACGGATCTTCAATGTCAAAGTAAGTCATACTTTTGGCCTCATGCTAGTGTAATCTATGTTCAATATCTATGTAGATAGAGAGAAAGGACATATATAGAACTGTCAAATAAATAAAGACATATATATTGGACAAAAATCAATGAATGGTTGTCCTCATTTGGTTTAACAAAATTAACAACGGCTTTTCTTTCCAATAATTTGTTGAAAAAAAGTTTGAACAAAGTAACTATAAACGATTCTTTTTTTGCTATCCTCAGCCAGCCGCAATGATGGAGAAAGCATTACCTCGAACCATCGCCAGTGACACACGCTGCAGGAGCCACTCCGTTTCGCGAGGTTTTTCTTTAATCGAGACGCAATCGGGCCAATCCTCCGAAGGAACGCCATCGAACGAGGACCAATAACCCTAGAAGTGTCCACTGCCACAGGAGTAAAAAATATCTGTCCGCAAGAGAAGATTTAACTATATTTTTTTTATTATCTCCGCGTTCCGAACGACAGACCCCCGACTCAACCGCAGACCAGATCAAATTACTGAACAAAACGTATCGGCACATGTCGCATCCCAAATTAACGACTTCCCCATTTTAAAAGGGAAAACGGTAATTCCACCCGGCCGCTTTCCAAAGTATTATGGAACATCACGTCATTATATTCTCTTTGAGTTATGCTCTTCGTTTTTGTTGTCGTTGCTGTTGAAGCGATGTGGTTTATGTTATTCGATACAGTTCTTTGTTTGGGATTCTGTAGCGCCGGACAACAAGGTTAGAAGAAGTGCGGCCCTCGCAAAGAGCTACAGGCTTCATTCATTGCGAGTCATTTTTAAACATTGCTGTGAGAAATCGGTTGTATACCGGTGAACGAGTTTGCTGCCATGTATGACATCAGCATGAAAGCATCGATTTGATTAGA